GCGCCCCCCCCCCCCCCCCCCAGTTTGGGCTCCCATGGCCTAGAAGCATGTGATTGGCCATGGGCCTTGGGAGATGCCAACCCACACCCGAGGCACCTTCCTGGGAACTTTCAGACTAGCCTGGGGGCAGTGGCGCCCCCCTGCAAAGAACTGAGTCCTGCCTGGACTGGGGGTTTGCCCACGGGGCTGGACGCCCTCTTGTTGCTGTACTTTTCCACAGCAAGACCAGCAGGAAGCGAGACAAGGCCCCGGCAACCCCACCATTTTACCTCTTTCCTGCACCTGCCTCTGGATCACGGACTCCCACCCATGGGAGCATTTTAACCAAGGGACCAGGGTCCTTCTGCTGATTTGGAAGTAGCTTGACTTGAGCCAGCGGTTTATTCCATCCATGCTACAAGCCTGACCCAAGAACTTTTGCATTTCTTGTATGTCATGGATTCCTTTCACCCTTTTCCACCCTCGCCCTTTCTTTCCTTTTAGGAATAAACCTTCAGACTGGAGATTCTAAAGGAGGGTACAGTGCGATTCCAGGGTCAGAGCCGAGTTATATACTGATCGGGGCGTGCGGCTGGTCCTATGGGATCGGAAGGACCTTTTATTTGACGGGACTAGTTTTCCTTAGGATTGCCAGATAGTTTCACAAAAAATACCGAACACGGCGGAGAAAAAATTGGTTGAGGCCAAAAAAAAAAAAAAAAAGAGTCATGGTGCCTTTAAATCCCCACGCTCCCCCCATCCCTACCAAAATGTCCCAAGCGCCCTCGCATCCGAGAACAACAGAAAATACCGGACCATTTTACACGTCTCGTATTTTCTGGGTTTTTTATCGGACAGAAGCTGCAATACCAGACACCTGGCAACCCTAGTTTTCCTAACTGCTCGTCGGTGCACGGAGGGCGAGGGGTGGCTGATCCAGGGGAACCGGCGTGCCTGAGGGGACTGCTTGTATGACGTCTGGTTAGCTGGCGTAGCGAAACGGGAGAGCTCTTTTTCTCTGGTCCGGTGTGTCTTGTAAGTAGAGCCCCCCCAGGGTTGGGCTGTAAACAACCCCGTCTCAAAGCAGTTAGTCCTGTATTAGATACTCAGAAGTACCCCCAGCAGAGCACGCCTGTTTGCAGCCCACGTCAGGCCTCACCCCGCACGCTAGATGTGTGGCTGCACTTACTTTTTCTCCTTTAGGCCCGTGGCGGAGGGGGGGAGGTACCGGGGTCAGCACGTTCCCTCCCAGACGGGGCTGGCAGGCCACAGGCGTGGCTGGGCCTCCCCGGGACCATGGAGCAATGTGTCCACAGGGCCATGAGATGCCCTCAGCTACCAAACCCAAGCAGCTCACTCCCACGGCGCCAGAACGGCCTGAAATTCCACGAGGCCCAGCTCGCTCCTCCTGGGGCCAGCAGCCGTGAACGGCCAGGGAGGGAGGCTGCCGCACACGGGGCCATGTGGCATTCAGGGGAGCTAGGAAGTGAGGAGAAGCCAGGCCACCAAGTCCTTACCTTTTTCCCGGGAAGTCCTATCCCTGGAGGACCTGGTAGCCCCGGGGGGCCTGGTTCACCGGCCAGCCCCTCAGGTCCAACGAGCCCTGGGTCACCCTAAAACACAGACCTCGCTGTGAGTCTGCTCTATCTGCTGGCCTTCAAATCCCTCCCACCCCAAACCCACAGCACAGTACCTTCTGCCCCTTCGGTCCCACCACACATATCTCTCCAGGCCGGCCCTAGCAGGAGAAGGAAAGCAGGGTTAGAACAGGGTAAGCTCTTTGAGGGGAAGGGGGATTCTTTCTGTGCTGTATTTGTACAGCACCTTGCACTATGGGGAAGTGATGGGGACTCCTAGGTGCTATCATAATACAGCTCATCAGTAATCACAGCAACACACGCCCAATAGTTTCCCACTGGCACTGAGCCGTGCACGGCCCTGGCACAGAGCCCAGCATGCAGCTTTCTTTGCCTTTGCTGATAAAGAATATGGGACGATCCATTTCCTAGGGCTTCTGCGGATCAGTGTCCCCTGTAAGTTGAGTACTTGGGCGGCTTAGTTTAAAACTAATAAAAGAAAGTTCTTCTTCACACCGTGCGTAGTCAAGCTGTGGAACTCCTTGCCAGAGGAGGCTGTGAAGGCTAGGACTATAACAGAGTTTAAAGAGAAGCTAGATAATTTCATGGAGGTTAGGTCCATAAAAGGCTATTAGCCAGGGGATAGAATTGGTGTCCTTGGCCTCTGTTTGTCAGAGGCTGGAGAGGGATGGCATGAGACAATTCGCTTCATAATTGTCTTCGGTCCACCCCCTCTGGGGCACTTGGCACTGGCCACTGTCGGCAGACAGGATACTGGGCTAGATGGACCTTTGGTCTGACCCAGTACGGCCGTTCTTATGTTCTTATGTTTCTTATGGCTGACTAGGAGAGAGTCAAGGACCACTCTGCAGATTGGCAGAGTGCCCACAGTCAGAAGCATACGTTTCTATGGGCGGTGCACCTCCGCACATGCCTCAGTGCACACAACAACATTTATTCCGCACACCGATGGAAAAAACGAGAGGGAACGTTGCTGCGGATCCCAGAAAAATGCATGAAACAGATTCGTAAAAGGAAGAAGGAGCCATCACGGTTCTCACATTTACACAGCACCCTCGATCCTGGGGGATCTCAAACCTCTTTGCCATAGATTGTAAGGCTCACGCCGCCCCGTGGGAAACGCAGCTGCCTCTGGGGTGGGGTCTGATAGCTCTTTGCAGCTCCCGGCCAGGCTGCGCAGCAGTGCGGCACGGGATGTGAAGAATCCCGATCCCGGCTGGGACGACGGGGAATTGAGGGAGGTGGAATACGAGGGGGTGCTGGGAATTTGTCCACAGTGCCCAGTGGGCTCTTGACTGAACGCAGGAACTCGGGGCTGCAGAGGTAACTCTCCTCTCTCGTGCCAGAACTCAGTAGTCACTCTGCCACCCATTAGAGTGGCTGGGTGCTCTTTGAGCAGGGATGGGGAAACTAAGGCCTGGGGGGCGTATGTTGCCCTTGGCTTGCCTGGATCCGGGCCCCCAGGCTCAGGGCTCCCCGCACTGGTGCTCCAGCTCCCCCGACCTCCCCGCCGGGGGGCTGGAGCACACAAAATCTACCAGCCTGGCCCCCCTAGGCTCTGCTGTGTGAGGGGAACGTGGGGGAGTCTCTTTCTCCTTCTCAGTGGGGGCCACGTTAGTGAGGGTGTTTTTTTTGGGGGGGGTTGCTTCTCACTGGTGGGTGGCCCCCAACTGATTTTTCTGTGGGTCAGTGGCCCCTGACCCAAAAAGGTTCCTCACCCCTGGGCCCTGCAGCACTGCGGGGTTGGGGGGTCACCAGGTAAAGCTGAGGGGTCCTCCCCCGGACGCTGAGGAGGAGACGCGGTGGAGACGAGAGGAATCTGAGCACCTCTCCAAGGCTGACAAGGAACTGGGAAACCACAAGGACGTTCCTGGGAAGGGACCAAGGTTCTCTGGATCCCGCAGCCCCAGGGCGGATTGAGTCAACGGGGAGAGGAGACACGAGGAGCAACTTACGTCGCGCCCTGGCATCCCGGGATTCCCCTGGACTCCTCCATCTCCCTTCTCGCCTTTCTGCCCCTGGAGAAGCAATCCAGAAAGCCGCCCGTCAGGGGAGAAACGCAGCGCCCTTCGGCCGCGCCCCGGCTGTCCCCCACTCCTCCGACCCCGTGGCTGCCTCGGCTCCACAACCGCCTGTAACGCCTCCGGCCTCTTCTCACCCCTGCTGGCAGCTGGCAGCCTTCGCGCTCCAGAAAGCACCACTAACCCGTCAACCGTCCAACTGACCATCCCGTGCCGTCCCCTGGCAGCCCCCAGCCCCTCTCCCCTAGATCCAGACCTTGCTTTTCCCAGCCCCGATCTCACACACCCTCTGGGGGCCTTTTCTCCTCCTGGGTTCCTTTCCCAAGCAGAAGAGCTACCTGCTGTGACCCTGGGGCCTGCCACATGGACAGGAGAGAGAATTACCTTCCGCCCATCCACACCGGTCGCTCCTGCTGGGCCCTGTTTGCAAGAGAAACACGGTGGTTACCAAGGCCCCTGGCTATTAACACCCAGCTCCGTGCAAGAGGCGCTTTGTGGCAGCACATTCAGCGACGCGCTCCCCCGGTCCACAGAGCGTCGCCGACGGCCCTCGCTAGTAAATATTTATCTCCCACAAGATAAACTTGGCCACGGCAAAGCGCAACGTCTGAGCAGCCTTCTGCAGGATGCCGGAGGCCATTTGGCCTCGGCCAGGCTGGGAGCCGCGAGGCGGGTGCGGCAGGG